ATATATATTGTTGGGTCTTGTTTTTTATTATTATAATCTGCTAACCTATGTCTTTTGAATGAAGAGTTTAAACCATTTAATTCAATGCAGTTCTAGAGAGATGGTTTTTATTTCCTGCCATTTTGATTATTTCCAATGTTTAAACTAGACTTGATTGTCCTTTAATTGACTATTCTTCTGGTATAATTCCTCCATAAGCAGGTTTTAATTTAATTTTAATTTTTTTTATGAAATATCTCATTGAGTATGTTTTGTAGTATATGATTATGTTTATGAACTACTTCAACTTCTGTTTGTCATGGAAAGTTTTTATTTCATCTTCAATTCAGAAGCTTAATTTTGTTGAGTATAATACTCTCAGATGGCATCCATTTTCTTTCACATTTTGATATATATTATTCCAAGTCCTCTTGGTTTTTAGGGTCTGGGTTGAGAAATCAATTGAAATCCAGTTTACTGTACCTATAAATGTGACCAGTTATTTTTCTTTTTCAGCTCTAAGAATTCTATACTTATTCTATCTGTTAAATATTTTCATTATAAAGTGTCCTAAAGTAAACCTGTTGTGATTTTGTATATTTGGAGTAATATATGCCTCTTGTATTTGAATTTTCATCTCATTATTAAAGTTTGGAAAAAAATTCTGATATTATCTCATTGWAAACATTGTGCATCCCTTTAGCTTGTAWTTTTGATACTTTTTCTACTCTAATGATTTTCATATTTAGCCTTCTGATGTCCAGATTTCTCAAATATTCTGTTCATGGTATTTTAACATCTTTTATTTATGGTCAACTTTATTTTCAAGATTATATACTTTGTTTTTCAGGCCTCAAACTCTATCTTTAAACTGATCAAATTAATTGGTGATGCTTTGCATTGAATTTTTAATTTTGTTTATTGATTCTTTTATTTTCAGGATTTCCATTTAGTTCTTATTTAGAATCTCTCTTTATTGTGTTCTTTACTTCCTGTATTTCTCTAATTCCACATCTTACCTCTTATTTTAGCTCATAGAACATTTTAACTATAAACTTTCTAAAGTTTTTCCTCTAAAATTTCTTCCACTGTGTCATCAATAGAGTCAGTTGTTGAATCATTATGGGCTGTTTGGGCATTTTTTCCTGTTGCTTTTTCATATTATTTGTATGTCTACCCAACTAATGGGACAGTTTCTTTTAAGCAAAGGACAACTTTATGAGCTTCTTTCTCTTAAGTGCCCTGGATTGAGCAGATATTCATGTACTGATAAAATAAGTCAATGTGTGACTCTGATGGTCCCAATATCAGCAACACTTTGAGAGATGCCACKTTGCCCTATTTAATATATTTATTTCAGAGCCAAACTTCATACTATTCAACCTATGAGAACCAAAACCTATGGTKAACCAAGAACTAGACAAAGTGTCTGTAAATAAAGGCTGCTATCATTCATTTAGACCAAAAATTTATTGAGTGGCTAAGACATTCTAGGAACATTGAATGTCAAAATGAAATACCAAACATGAGGAGCACACAATGGGAATCTTCAAGAAGACAAGAAAATTCCCTGGACTCAAGATTATCTATTTTCTAACTGATTTGAGCCTTGGCCCTCCCTAGTGGGCTAATACTACTTTTCTAAGGCCTTTGTTTCACAGAGCAAATACCCAGGACAAGACTTTATCAAATTTCCATCCCCAGCTTTTGTGTGTTCATTGGTGTTTCAGATTAATATTTCTTATAGTAGGAAAAACTTGAGAAGGATATGATGAGCAATGTTTTCTCTAAAAGAAAGATTAGGAGTTCAGATATGGTAGATTAAAAATAGTATTTATTGATCACAAACAATGTGGAAAAACTGATTCTACTTGAGAAACAGACTTGCATCAGACACCATAGGACTTCTGTTTCTTGGTCTTATTTTTATGAATATGACTGAACCAATCTTCCTTCTGAGACTCTAATATGTACAGGTGAAAGTATTACACTGGCTTCAAAATATAAGTTAATGGCAAAAATAATGATTTGCCTTAAGCTACCTTATAATTAATTACACATATACATGTTTATCCAACTGGGCAAATTTTATAACTTTCTGGTTTCCTTCAATGCCACAGAATGGAACTGAAGGGAGATAAAGATTGCAGCAGTGGTGAGTAGACAGCAGAATATAGGACTCAGGCAAAGTATGCATGGCAAAAGACAGCTACAGGTAGCAGGATGATGCCATTGATGTTCACTACTGTCCTCCACAAAGGCTTCTCAGAGGTGTCTGTCAGCTTCATCTTCATAGCTGCCTCCTCTTCCTTGGTCATCTTAGGTCCCTRGTCCAGCCCACAGAACAGGTCATAGGCCCGCCTGAAGCACCCTTTTCTCTCCTCTGGAACTTCTGTATCAAGGGAAAGGCATAAAATAATTATTGGATACAGAAGCAGGAGAGATGAGAAGGGGCTTCCAGGAAGATGCTATACCATGAAGCATCTCCATTCTGAAGAAATTTCCCAATTTTCTTCTTTTCAGGAATAGGAGTAGCATATGATTTTCAAATGAACTTATGTACAAGACGATGTTACTGAATGGATTCTACATCATCACAATCAACTAGCCTGAACTGTATCTCTATCAGACAAATGAAATGTATTTTGATTTAGATCAAGTGATASTTTATGAGAGAGAAATGTTAACAATTGGCTGGTAAACTGTGGTGTGAAGAACATGGAAAACCCACCTGTGAAATACATAAACTCATAGCTCTCTGCTGTGTTACTGGAAAGCAACAAGGCTGGCATGTCAGGAGTGAATTGGCTACATCTGTGAATTCTAAGCTTCCACATCAGATCCACCTGGATGGCAAAGAAAGGTCTGAACCATTCCTGATGCAAAGTAGCACTGATCAATACTTCTGGGCCTTAAGATCTGATATTGCATATCAATACTGATKAATCAAACCATCCAACTGGCCCTTACACCCAAAGTGGATGCCTACCAAGGACAAGACTCCATCAAATTTCCATCCCCAGCCTTTGTGTATTCAAGGGAACTGGTTTTCATCTGAGCTCAGGTGAGGCACCAGAAGTAGACAGACCCAGTTTACAATCTCTCTCTTCCACTTACTAATATGAGATCAAACACACTATATTTTTGGCACCATCTTAAGAGAACACTCTTTTGCACTTTCTCATTTTCACAAATCTCAGATATTTTAAAAAGAGGCACAGAATTTTAGAAATGGAAACATCCTGAGTGATCTAGGGCATAAATGTATCACAATTGGTACCAAGTCCAGTCTCATGGCCTTATTAATTCACTTCTCTTATCTTTTGGGTATCTGTAAAAGTGGATAAATACTGACTTCTTTATTGTATTAATGAAAATTTAATGAGATATTTAATATAATGATTTAATGAGAGAGAACCCAGCACATAATACATATTAGTAAGTAAAATCTCCCCCCACTCTCTATCTTTTCTCTCACACAAGAGATATACCCTTTTGTACCTCTCCCATCTGTTGTATTCCAATGATATGGGCTCACTGATTTAGCTCATGTGACAAATAGGTACATGGTTATCTGAGTTAACATAAAGTTAAGTGGTATTGGGAAACTCTCTATCTTATTTTTCTCATCTATAAAATTGGAAGTTGTATGCTTGCATTATCTGCCTTAAACTATGATCTGGATACAAAATGTATCATTAAATGAGTTAGTTATTTATAATTAAATGTTATGATCATGTCATTATCAATCATATGATAATGGTGGTGGTGATGATGGTAAGGGGATGGTGATGCAATTTTATTCTCTTAATATTACTAGAATCTTCCCCATAATGCTGTTTGTGACACTCAGTCCTTTTTCTTTTCTATTTTGAGACAGCATCTCATTTAATTGCCCACGATGGTCTCATATTTGCAATCCTCTTGCCCCAGCCTTTTGAATCACTGTGATTACATGTATGCATCACCAAACCCAGACCCATTACCTAGATGTGCAATAGTCTACATTCTTACTCTGAGTTAAAATTAGATGGATCCTTGAGTTCATCAGTTTCATATTTCTTCTCTGATGCAAAAATTATCTCTTCTTCCATGTTAACACTTCTTGATATTCAAGGCTYCTCATCCATGCCCTTCTAAAATCTGATATTCTCACATAGTATGGAAACACGTTTTAAAGTAGAAGAGAAAGGGGGCATGCTCACGGGCTAAGGTGTAGTTTTGTTGTATAGCAGTTGTCTAGTAGGTGCAAGTCCTTGTTTTAATTGCCAGTACCACACAAAGGAAGAGAAAAAGAAAAAAAATGGGGGGGGGGCATGTTCATGCCTGGCTACTCCAGGAAAGCAGGAAGGAACTGCCTGATGTCAGCATCATGGACAGCTGCCTGTGGCTCCATGTTCCTCCAGTACCCACAGAGATGCTGGTTTCAGAAATGAAATGTTCTTAGAGATTAAGAGCATATTGTATCAGGGCCAAGACGATTAACAGTCTCTCCCTCCCAGTACCTCAATTTGTGTCTGTAAAGTGAGATAATAAGATCATAGGACATTTATGGCCCTTTCCAGAGCTAGAATTCTATGACATTCCTAATGGCCAGATTCAAAATTTGCTCTGCTTCCTCTGGGGCTCTACTTCACATGGAGTGATGAGYGCTCCAGTCCARTACCAGCAAAAGCACCTGATCTTGAGCTCCCCTRCTTCTACCCACCACATGCATCCATTCTTCATCTGTGTATCGTACCCATATGGTGAGGAAAACTTCCAACATTGAAGCTAAAGAACACATTAATTTAAAGGGAAAGCCTCTAGGCACTAACTAAGCATCATCTCAGGCTTCCAGAGAAATTTGATTTTTTAAGTCAGATATGGTAAGACATAAGATCCCAATAGTCTCTATTTTTTATTCTCTTTATGTTACTAGAATCAAACAAAGCTTTCCCCACCATCTGATCTGTTTCCAAACTATGTCAGAAGAGCCTGACCCTTCTCTTACCTATGACTATGCCCCCAAAGCATGGTCAAGTCAAGGTGGCAAATTTCTCATGCACTGATTCACTGAGCACAGTAAATTTGAGGGGTAAGGCAGCTGAAATGGCCCTGTACCTCCCTCCCTGACCTCAACCAAGCCTCATAGTAAACTTTCCAAAATCCACTTATCCATCCACATTCCTCCTAGGGAAGGGATCTGAGCTCTGATGAAGGCATTTAGTGAAAGCTTTACACAGTCTTGCTGTCGTAAGAGAAACTTTTTTTTTTTTTTGTACCAGGGATTGAACTCAGGGGCACTTGACTACTAAGCCATATCCTCAGCCCTACTTTGTATTTTATTTAGAAACAGGGTCTCACTGAATTGCTTAGTGCCTTTCTTTTGCTGTAGCTTGCTTTGAACTCATGATTCTTCTGCCTCAGTTTCCTTTACTGCTGGGATTACAGGTGTGTGCCACCACACCCAGCAAGAGTAAGTTTTTATGGCTTGGAAATCAGCTTTGACTCATAAATCACCTATTTCAATGGTATCCTTCGGTGTTTCTTGGAGGTTCTCCTCTTCTGCATCCAAGTCAATACGTTCCTCTGTGCTGTTGCGCAGATTCGAACAGAGACGATAGAGCTGTGGGAAAACAGAGAAAAATTTAATATAAAAATCCAGTGTCTTCAGCCAAGCAGTAGGAGAGCAAAGAGATAACCATCAAGAAAAGAAAAGGAATGTGTACCAACAAAGAACATAGATTACATTTCTCACCCACAGCATAATCTCTCAATATGTTGGAAACTTAGATGTAAATCATACCCATGTATACATGATATATGGATAGAAGTTAAAGAGACTGTCTCAGATAAGGAAATATTTGTTCAGTGATTATTTTTACACATGATAAATGAATTGTTCCTTTTGGCACTGATACTAGGAAGTAAGACTAGACAAAACAACCATTTGTCCAGATCAGCAGTGTGAGGTCATAATTTTATACTATGTCATATTATGAGGATAAGAATATGCAGAGGGATACATCAAGTTGGTAGAATAGAGATAACCAGCACTAGTTTGCTCCTCCATGGGATGGAAACAAAGAAAAACATTGTGTAACTGCTCACAGAAGTAAGGAACTATGAGTGAACACTGGAAATTGATAGCACAGAAAATTAAACCTGGTGAATTCCAGAGACAACGGAGAATAGCAAAGCAAAAGAGGTAGAATACCTCAGCTCCTGGTGCCTGACACCCTAGTCAGGGGAAGGCACTGATTCCTGCAAGGAAGTAAAATCTACAGAGAAAGAGTCATGGCATGGCATAGAAGGATGCACCCTGCAGACTAACCGGTTTTTTTAAAAGAAGTGTGGAGATAGTGTAAATGATTGTTCTGTAACTAATAGAGCACTTGTTCTATATTTTAGAATATTTATTTTTTAGTTTTCGGCAGACACAACATCTTTGTATGTGGTGCTGAGGATCGAACCCGGGCCGCATGCATGCCAGGTGAGCACGCTACCGCTTGAGCCACATCCCCAGCCCAATAACAGTTTAAATAAATAGATGACCTGGAGTCTGCTTAACAAGCTAGCTTTAAAGAAGGAACTCAACCGTATCTCTCAGCAAACCCTCAGAGTGCTATGGCGAGGATCCATCTTGAGTAGGGTCCTATTGTTAGGGACTAAACAGCTCTGTGATCAGAAGACCCAACAAAATCACATTTTAGTGTCCCTATGAACATTCCTATGCACTRACTGGGTCAGCAGTGGCCAGTATAACTTGGGGGAGTATCCCTGACAAAAGTTTCTGAGAAATTTATGCAGGGGTTTATTTATGATTTACTTATGCAGGGAACATAGACTACAATACATACACGAGAATGGAGGAAACAGTAATTCAGCAGTTCTCCCTTCTGTTATTTGAAGTGACCCCAGAAGTATATTATTTTGTGTGGGGGCCAGGTCTGAAGTCATGAGGATAGAGGTCGGCAAATCGTTTGGTTTCCACAACCAAAAGTACAGAACAAAGAATATTAAAGGCTGCAATAGAGCAGTGCAAACTCACATGTAAAGGCAAACCTATTAGAACAAAAGCAGATTTCTTGGTGGAAAATATTATCACCAGGAGGGTATGGACTGATGTATTTCAAATACTGAAAGAAAGTAAATGCCAATCTATATTAGTATACTCAGCAAAGTTATTCTTCATATTTGAATGATAAATAAGCACCTTCCATGATAATCACAAACAAAGGGAGTTTATGGCCATGAAGCCAGCACTGCAGAAGATACTTAAGGGACTTCTATACCTAGAAGAGGAAAAATGATAACCACAATCATGAGAACACAGGAAAGAATAAATCTCACTAAAAGAGTTGATAAGCAAATGAGAATTARGAAAAAAACCAAACATTATTAATATGTAAAACTACCAATCTTCTAAGATGAATAAGAAAAACAAATATAGAATATCCAAAACTACCAGAAKATAAACAAAAAATTTAGAAGCTGTACACACTTTTCAACAAAAATCCTGAATGTAAATGAATCCTCCAATTAAAAAATACATACTGGCCAACTGGATTAAAAAACAAGATGTAACAATCTGCTGCATACAAGAAACTCATGTCATAATTAAGGACATGAACAGACTGAAAATGAAAGGATGGAGAATGAAATTTCATGAAAATGAAATATGAAAGCAAATAGCAGTATTTATTTATGATTTACTTTTAGCCAAGATTTGTCAGAAGAGACAAGGAAGATCACTACAGACTTATAAAGGGAACAATTCATCAAGAAGATATAATGATTATAAATATATATGCACAAAATGTCAATATATATTATATTCAATAGTCTTTGTTAAACAAAGACTATTGAATATAAACAAAGAGATAAGCTTAAATAATAATAGATGATTTCAATATCACACCCTCAGCAAGTGATAGATCATCCAGACAATAAGCCATCAAAGAAACATCAGAGTTAAGTTATACTACAGATCAGGTGGACTTAATATACAACCACAGAAATTTCACCCCAAAACTGTATAACACGTATTTTCATAAGTACATGGATTTTCCAAAATAGATCATATATTAGGCCATAAATCAAGTCTTACAAATGATAAAAAGTTGAAATAATTTGTTATATCTAATCAGATCATAATTTAGTGAAACTAGAATTAAGAGGAAGAGGAACTACAGAAATTATATGAACACATGGAGACTGAACAATATACTTTTTTTGGTGGTATGGGGTTACTCTAACACTGAGCTACATCCCCAGCTCTATCTTTAATTTTATTTTGAGATAGTATCTAACTAAGTTGCCAAGGTTAACTTCAAACTTGTGATCCTTCCTGACAAGTATCTGGGATTATAGGTGTCCACCACCACACCAAGCTGATAATAAACAGTGGGTCATTGAAGAATCTGGAAGGAAATTTAAAAATTTCTAGAATCATGTGAAAATGGAAATATAGCATACCCTTATCTTGTGGGATACAATGAAAACAGTATGAAGAGGAAAATTTAGAGCTATGAGTGTTTGCAACAATAACAACAAACCATAGAGATCATAAATAAATAACCTAAACATGGCAAGGCTAAGACTAAACCCCCAATCAGTAGAGTACAGAAATAATAAAGATTAGGGCAAAAATAAATAAATTAGAGACAATATGAATGATACAAAGGATTGATGAAACAAAGAGTTGGTCCTATGAAAAGATAAAATTCACAAGCTCTTGACTAAATCTACCAAAAACAAGAGAAATAAGACCCAAATAAATATAAAGAGATAAGAAGGGGGATATACAACTGATACCATTGAAATTCACTGGATAATTTGGGAATATTTTAAAAAACTTTATGTAAAACAAATTAAAAATATCTAGTGGACAAATTTCTGGACACATATGACATTCCATAATTAGCCAAAATAGAAAATAAAAAATAAAATTAAAATAAAAAGATAAATAGATCAATAAGAAATGAGATTAAAATAGTCATAAAAAGTATTACAACAAAGATAAGCTCAGAATAGATTCACTGCTGAATTTTACCAGRCTTTTAAAGAAGAAATAATACCAACTACCAAAGCTCCTCAAAATATTTCATAAATTAGAAAGGGAAAGACCCTTTTAAACTCATTCTACAAAGCCAGTATTACTCTACTATGATAACATGATAAGGACACAACACATATACACATAAGGAAACTATAGGTCAATAACCCTGTCATCATAGTGCATAAAATCTCAATAAAATACTTGCAAATTGAATCAACAGCACATTAAAAGATCATTCACCATGAGCAAGTTAGTTTTATTCCAGTGATGTAAGTCTGATTCAACACACACAAATCAATAAATGTAATACAGCACACAAATAGAACCAAAGACACATATCACATAATCATCTCAATAGATTCAGAAAGTACCTTTGATAAAATTGTGTATCTATTCATGATTAAAAACCCTGATTACATTAGGGATAGAAATATCATATGTCAACACAATAAAGGCTATATATCACAAGCCCATAGCTMACATCATACTGAAAGGAGAAAAATAAAATCATTTCCTCTAAAACCAGAAAAATACAAGAATGTCCACTCTTATTCAATATAGTATTTGAAATTTCATCCAGAGCAATCAGGCAAGAAAAACAAATAAAAGAGATACAAAGAAAAAAATGAGGAAGTCAGATTTTCCATCTTTGCAGATAGTGCAATTCTATATTTAGATAACCCTAAACCCTAAAACACTTTTAGAACTTATAAACAAATTTAACAAAGTAGCAGATACAAAATCAAACATACAAAAATCAATAACTGTTTTATACACCAAAAATGAATTTCCTGAGAAACAAATTAGGAAAAAAACTCTCACTTTACAATAAGTGAGAAAAACAAATAAATAATATACCTAGGAATAAACTTGACCAAGATGATAAAAAACCTACAATGAAAATTTCAAAGCCCTGAAGAAAAAAACTGAAAAAGAGACTAGAATGTGGAAAAACACCACTGTACATGGATTGGGAGAATGAATATTGTTTAAATGAGTATACTACAAAAAGTGATCTACAGATTCAATATAATCCTCATAAAATACCAATGACATTCTTCACAGAACTAGGAAAAACAATCCTAAAATTCATATGAAAGCACAAAAGACCCATAACAGCCAAAGCAATCCTTGGCAAAAGAGCAACACTAAGGGATGATAATTCCTGGTTTCAAAACATACTACAGAGCAATAATAATAAAAATAGAATGTCATTGGCATACAAATAGGCAGGTCATTTGATTAAATAGAATAGAGGACACAGAAATAAACTCATGCATCTTTAGCTAACTGATTCTCAACAAAAGTCCCAAAAAMTATGTTGGAGAAAAGACAGCCTCTTCAACAAATGATGTTGGGAAAACTGAAAACCCACATGAAGAAGACCGAAACTAGGGCTCTATCTCTCATCCTGTACAAAAATAAATTCAAATAAATAAATAAATAAATAAACCCAAAATGAATCAAAGAGATTAACGTAAGACCTGAAGCTTTGAAATGACTAGAAGAAAGCATAGATATTGCTACAAGCAACAATTTCCTTGAATAGGATTCTAATAGCCCAGGAAACAAAATAAATAATTGACAAATAGGATCACATCATATTAAAAAGTTTCTGCACAACAAGAGAAACAATCATCAGAGTGAAGAGATAACCTGCACTATGGCAGGAAACAAAATCTTTGCTAGCTATTCATTTGACAAAGAATTAATATCCAGAATATATAATTTTTAAAAATTAACAAAAGAACAAGCAATCTAATCAAGAAATGAGCAATTGGTGTGAATAGATACTTCTCAAGAGAAGAGTATGGATGGCCAATAAATATATTTTTAAATGATATATATCTTTATTCATCAGGCAAGTGCAAATCAAAACTATAGTAAGATTCCATCTGACTGAATTATAGTCAGAATGGCTATTATAAAAATTAATAAATAAATAACAAATGCAGGCAAGGATGTAGAGAAAAAAATAACCCTTTTACAATTTTGGTGGGAGTGTAAATTAGCTCTGTCACTATAGCAATCAGTATGGAGTTTCCTTAAAAAATTTAAAATAGAATTACCAAACAATCCAGCTATATCAATCCTGGGTATATATCCAGAGGAAATAAGTCAGTGTACCAAAGAGGTACCTGTACACCCATGTTTTTTACAGCACCATTCATAATTGTAAAGATACTGAATCAGTCCAGGTGTTCATCAACAGATTAATGAATTTTAAAAATGGTATATATACACTATGGATATCATTCAGTCATAAAGAATAATGAAATCATGTCATTTTCAGGAAAATTGATGGAATTGGAGKATATGTTAAGTGAAATCAGCCAAAAAAATAACAAGTAGGGCATGTTTTCTCCTGTCCATTGGTAACTACCTTGCTTTCTCGACTTTAAAAGGAAACACAGAACTAAATGTGTTTGAGGCTATAAGTTTGAGGCATGGGGAAGCAGGTGATAGCTCTATGAAAGAAAGCCTGTGACAGATACAGTCAATAAACATCATGCTGATTTTGCAGTAATTAAATCAGTTTTTATTTGACATATAGGTTTGTCACGGCTTTTGGAAATTTGGCAATGATGTTGAAGGTCTCTAATGGTCCTATAGTTCTTGTATTCAGGTGTGCATAAATACAGTATTAATAAAAATTTTCTCTTTTTGTATGGGCATATATGATCTTGGGTTAATTTCTTATCTCTGTTCCCTTGGAAACCTGAAAAAGATGGAACGCCATTTGAATTGGTTTAGCAGACTTATATTGCTTATAGGCCCATAATCACTCATTTTTTCTAGATTGGGAGGGATATGAATGAACCCTAAACCAATGGAAACATTTTGATTTAAAGAAGAGTACTTTTAATTTATGAAGTCTTAAATCAATTGGGCCTTGATATTGTGTTATGATTTGAATGTCCCCTCGAAAACTTATGTTGAAATTTAACTGCCATTGTGACAGTATTAAAGGTGTCAGCATACTACAGCAATAGAGGCACATCACATTTTATAGCAGTGCAATTCACAATAGTCAAATTATAGAACAATCCCAGGTGCCCATTAACAGAYGAATCAATAAAGAATATGTGGCATTGCTACAGGCCTGACTCGGGCCTAAATGAAGGAATGTTTATCTTGCTCATTGTGCGGCAGGGAAGTCCTACCATAGAATGCTATGTTTTGGGACAGAGTGCTGTCAGAACTCCGGCAAGTACCATTTCCTTGCTCCTTTGACAAGGAGTTTTTCCCCTGTTGGTTCAAGGTAAGCCTACATGGCAGTTTCTAAACTCTTCGTGTCTGGACTCCTGTAAGATGATATGTTGTGTATCACTTCTGGACTATCATTACTGTTATATGTAAATTGGCACATACCCACTATAAAAGCTATTTTTGCTGTGCAATAAAACAGACACTGTTCTCTGAAACCATCTCTGGAGGGGTTTCTCCATGCTCTCAAGCTCCCCACAGTCGACACTGGAAGGGCAGGACCCTCAGCATGGCATGTGTACACAATAGCTTTTTAATTTTTTTAGTTGTTGATAGACCTTTATTTTTTATTTATTTATATCCAGTGCTGAGAATTGAACCCAGTGCCTCACACATGCCAGGCAAGTATGCTACTGCCAGACCCCAGCCCCAGAACCACAATGGCTTTATACTGAGCTATAAAGGAGAATGGAGTAATGTCATTTGCTGGTAAATGGATGTAATTGGAGAACATCAGGCTAAGTGAAATAAGTCAGACTCACAAAGTCAAAGGTCAATTGTCTTTGCACATAAGCAGAAGTTAGAAACAAGGAGAGAAGAGGATTGGGGAATCCCATGAAGACAGAAAGGAGAGCAGTAAGGAAAAAGAAGGGGATTAAGGGGACAGAGGATGGAAGGGAAAAGGGAGGAACCCCAGAATGAAATTGATCAAGTTATGCTATGTACATAAATGAGTATTCTACATTCAATTYGACCTTCGTGTATATCTATGAAGCACCAATTAAAAGCAATGAATAAACAGAAGTAAGTCCAGTAGAGTAGAGGAAGAAAATGGGCAAGGAGGAGACAAGGAAAAATGGAAGTACTGGGGATTGAAATGGAACAAATTATATTCCATGTATGTATGCATATGTCAAAATGAACCCCACTTATATTTATAACTATAATGCAAAAATAAGAACATTTTTTTAAAAAAGGGATAATTAGATAATGAGGAATCTGTTCTTATGAGTGGATTAAATCCACTATTATGGGAATACTTTTTTAATAAAAGGATGAAGTTTGGCTTCGATTAATTCATATCCCTTTCTCATTCTCTCTTGCCACTTAATGCCTTCCATGAGTTTATGATGTGGCAAGAGGGTCCTCACCAGATGCACCCATCAATCAGACTTGAGGCTTCAAGAACAAAAAATGAAATAAACTTTTATTATTTATAACCTACCCAATCTGTGGCATTCTGTTATAGCAGCAGTAAACAGACTAAGATATATTGTTAGAAATATTTTGAATTTTATGAACAACTGTTTGGCAGCTTAAGTGGAAAATATCAAAAGGTAAAACATACTACAGATTTCTCTGAGTTTAGAAATTTTTGTAACCAGGCCTCAGAAGCTTCAACTATGGGACTGTTATAAGTAACACAAGATACTATTTTGAACATAGGTTTCTGAGCATGGTAGCCCCATGCTTGCTCATGTGATCTCATTTCCCTTGTACATCTACTATCACTCAGGGAGTAGGATCCAGAGACAACCCCCCTGGACTGAAGTGTGGACTGTCAAAAGATTCCCATTAAAAATGCATTCTTGAAACTTCCTAGCTGGCATACCATATTTCCTGTCCTGTGTCCTTCTACACAAAACTAAGGGCAAGTACAAATCATTTTATTCATGCAGGTGGGAGATGTCTAGTTGAGCTGAGGTCAATCAAGAGTGCTGCAACATGAATGTGAAATAAGGACAGAAGAGGTCTTCTGAATGGATACTCACATGCACATCTGGAATGGGCTTGGTGAAGRGGGAGATGACCACAATGGTGATGACAGAAATGAAAAAGAGGAGAATGGCAAAATACAAGTAGTGGACCCCACAGATAATGGTGGGACAGTTGCTGGGCTACACACAGCTCCCAGTTCCATAGGCAAACTCAGTAATCATATGGGAAATCCCAATCAGAAATCCTAGGATGAGTCCCCAAAAGGCTCCCTGTGAAAGAAAACCCTGAATTAATGAGTGCTGAACCCACAAAACAGGTGGGAATTCTAACATTCCAAGAGCTGAGTGGGCAGAGGCAAAGGAATAAAGCTGAGAGAAATGGTAGCTCTAGACCATCTGAAGCCAGGACATCATGGTGCAGGAAGGGCTGRGACTGTTTAGTCAGGCTTCTAGGGGGTCTCTCTATCTTGTTTCAGCAGCATGATTTCACCTGCATCATTAAACAAGGACTCATAATATAGTGGAGTAAAGTGATTAATAACTCATATGGAATTTTAATCTCCTCTAAATTCCAAAAATTCATTTTAACTTAAAAAATATTTGAACTCTCCACCTTAGCTATTGTCATCACCTGCCTCCAGATTTAGGTCTGTTTAGATGTTATGTGATCACTTGTATTTTGTCTACCTTGAAGATACCAAAAAATTAATTAGGTATCTGTGGGATGGAGAAAGTAACTTTTCCATATAAATAGTTCTTCAATCCCCTTTATAAGCCCAAAGTCATAAATTTTAGTTTAATAACACAACATTATATAATGGATTTTTGTATCAAATTTGGGGTTTGTATATGAGATACACAGATGCTTCCAAGAGACTAGAAGAATTAGGGGACTATTTTTCAGGGATTTTTAAAGACTCTTCATCCCTCTTTCTTCACCTTTTCTTTTCTTTGTTTTCTTCCTCATTTTTTTTTACTTTCCTTTACCTYCTCTCTTTGCTTCTTCCTTTTCTTGTTTTTTTGCCTTTTGGTCTGTTCTCACCAAAGGCCTCTATTTCTGAAAGCTACAAATTAAGTGAGCCAGTGGCAAATGTGAATGTGCTCTTAGAAGGGTGGCCAAAATGAATCTTCATAATTTTGTCAGGTGTTGATCAGTCCCTTGGCTAGCCACAGTTATCCCTATACTTTATATTCCAAGCATGTTAATTTAAGAGCTGTTCTTTAAGTATATTTATGTCCAGTATTTTTGTTTATGTCATTCTCTCTATCTGTGAGAATATGGATATTCTTCCTGGTAAATTTGCTCTATTTTAAATAGAATAAACTATAGAGAACTGGGTGGGTTCACCCTCCTTGCTGTGGCCACAGGACTGTGAACACATGTCCAYGTCAGACCAATTCTACTGCCATGCAATCACTTATTCATTTCTCTGCTTCCACATTTTAACTGGGAGTTTTTCCAGAGAAAGAACCAAGTTTCATTCACTTAATGTAGCTAGTGCCTGGCCCGATGCCTGGCATCTGAAATTTTCTATTAAATTAATAAGTGAGAAAGAAAAAAAATATTCCCCATTCATTCCCCATAATGTATTCCTTTAAAAAACACTTTTATTTTAGTTACTATGAATAATGCTGATAAAACTTACAAGGATTTCTTCTTTTTTTGGAAATTAACTTCTATTCCTTTACTTTTATTCTCAAGTGGCTCTTAAAAAAATTGATAGCCATTGACATTTTCTTGTGCATTTTAGGATGTTTAGCATATCCCTGACCTCTAACCACTAGGTATATGCAGGGTTCTCTGAAGCAGAATTATCAAAAATCTTTACAAACATTGCTCTTAAAGGGGGTTAAAAATACCTCCAATGGAGTATGACTATGGTCTATATCAATTCTTATTTTTRTTTTTGAAAGTGCTGCCATTGCCAAATTGGATATTCTTGTGGCCTGTTGCAGTGCCAACCTGGGCTTTTAGACATAAGATGACAATTTTATTTTAGAAATATTCCAGGGAACCAGCTTTCTGCTAATCCCTATTGAAATTTGTCTAAAGAAATGTATCTATGTATCTAACCTGTTTTGATTAATTTCTGGTTTAATTCTGATCTTGCCAAAGTATCTGTGTGCCCAGTTTTGTGTAACTAGAAAATCTGGATTATCTTAAAACAACAATGTTGATCTGCTCTTATAGAATTTAAAAAGAACTGGTTTAAGKATCAACATTGTTGCTTTAAGATAATTGTCAACTTTTGTGTTTTATCAGGATAATTTATTGTGTCTATTAGATTTTCATTACTTAGGGACACTAAGTTTTGAAAGAATTATGTTTTGTTTAAGTTCCTGTCTGTTTTAACACCTTTTAAATGATTGCTTCATAACTCTGGTGAAATAAACAACTGTTATTTTAGGTTATTTTATTACATCTAGCACCCTAAATATATGTGACTAGAAATGTGTTACATCTGAGGGCTAAATATGTTTGTTTGAATTTTGTCTAAATATTATAGAAAAAAGCTTGTAGAATTAAAGCTATGTAGGTTTAATATGGACAAGGTGACCATTAAGTGTTCTCCTCTATAAAATATATGTTGTATCTATAACTTAAATATAAATGGTCAATGAAACTTTTGTAATTCCTGCCATTTGTATTTGATCTGTATCTGTTTGCTTTACTAAATAAATATCTTGTTATATAAAAAAATAAAAAGAAAAGAAAAAGAAAATCTGCAAATGTGGAAAGAAGAGATATACCTGTTGTGTTTTGTGCACCTCAAACTGGGTTACTCCACTGAGGTACTTCCCTGATGCAGTATATATCTGTTTCTGTCCTTTTGGGAGTAAGAAAATGTCTCCAATCAAAACTATGATATCAATTTTATTCTTTTGGATGGTAAGCCACATGGTCAGCACTGCTGCTTTTTCTCAGCCCTTCCCAGGGGAAGGTTGGAAACAGAAAGCTGAGCAACACCCTTGTTGAATAGCATATCCAAATGCATCTTTCTCATTGGGATAGCACCAAAAGAGCAAATCTAAGAGTTATTGGGATAGAGGAAGAAGGCACAGAGTTTCAAACCAAAGGAATGCACAATCTCTTCAATGAGATAATATCAGAAACATGCCCAAACATGAAGTATAAAATGGAAAAATCAAATAGAAGAGGCTTGTAGGACACCAAATGTACAAAATTATAACAGATCTAYACCAAATTACATTATAATGAAAATGCCTAGCATACAGAATAATGATAGAATATTAAAGGCCAAATGAGAGAGAAATCAGATCACATATAGGGGGATACCAATTCGTATCTCAGCAGATTTTTCAAACCAGACCCTCAAAGCTAGGAGATCATGGAAAAACACAACAAGAATTCTGAAAGAAATTAATGCCAACCAAGAATCTTATATCCAGAAAAATTAAGCTTCAGTTTTAATGAGGAAATAAAAACCTTCCATGATAAACAAAAGTTAAAAGAATTTACAACTAGAAAGCCTGCCCAACAGAACATCCTCAGCAAAATATTCCCTGAGGAAGAAATTAAAAACAACAATGAAAATCAGCAGAGGAAGGTATTACACTAAAGGAAAAAACTAATCAAAGGAGAAACCAAGTCAAGTTAAATAACAAAAATAAACAAAAATGAGCAGGAATACAAATCATGTCTCAATAATAACCCTGAATGTTAATGGCCTAAACTCACCAATTGAAAGACATAGACTGTCAGATTGGATTTTAAAAAAAGACCCAACAATACACTGCCTTCAAGAGATTCATCTCATAGGAAAAGGTATCCACAGACTGAAAGTGCAAGATTAGGAAAAATCATATCACTCATATGGTCTGTGGAAACAAGCAGGGGTTTCCTATCCTCATATAAAATAAAGTAGACTTCAAGCTAAAGATAATCAAAAGAGATAAAGAAGAACAATACATACTGCTCAAGGGAGCCATACATCAATAAGACATAACAATTATAAATATATATGCCTCAAACAATAGAGCATCTACGTTCATCAAACAAACTCTTTTCAAGTTCAAGCATCAGATAGACCACAACACAATTATTCTGGGTGACTTTAACACACATCTTTCACCACTTGATAGATCTTCCAAACAAAAGCTGAAAAAAGAAACTATAGAACTCAATAATATAACCAAAAACTTAGCTTCAGAGACATAAATAGAATATTTCATTTATCAATGAGTGAATACACTTTCTCAGCAGCACATTGGTCCTTCTCTAAAATAGACCATATATTATGCCACAAACCAGCTCTTAGCAAATACAAATAATTAGAGATATTACCTTGCATCCTATCAGATCATAATGGAATGAAATTAGAAATCAGTGATAAAATAAAAAATAATAGCTACTCCAATACTTGGAGACTAAATAATATGCTATTGAGTAAACAATGGATAACAAGAGACATCAAAGAGAGATTAAAAAATTCTTAGAGGTAAATGAGAACATTGTTACAAGATATCAAAATCTATGGGACACTATGAAGGCAGTGTTAAGGGGAAAGAAAATTCATTGCATGGAGTTCATTTCTTAAAAGAAGAAAAAGTCAACAAATAAATGACTTAATGTTACATCTCAAAACCTTAGAAAAAGAAGAACAAATCAACACCCAAAGCAGTAGGAGACAGGAAATAATTAAAATCAGAGCTGAAATCAGTGAAATTGAAACAAAAGGAACTATTGAAATAATTGACTAAACAGAAAGTTGGTTCTTTGAAAAAATAATAAAATTTATAAACCCTTAGTCATGCTAATGAAGAGAAGGAAACAGAAAACTCAAATTACTAATCTCCATTATGAAAAAGGAAATATCACAACAAACACTACAGAAATATAGAAGATAATTTGAAACTATTTTGAAAATTTGTACTTCAATAAATAGTACCTATCAAAGGCATTGACAAATTTTTAGAGTCATATAATTTGCCCAAATTGAATCAGGATGATCTACACAAGTTAATCAGATCGATTTCAAGCAAGGAGATAGAAGATGCCATCAGAAGCCTACCAATCATGAAAAGCCCAGGACCAGATTAATACACAGCTGAGTTATACAAGACCTTCAAAGATGAACTATCAATACTCCTCAAATTATTCCATGAAATAAAGAGGGAATACTTCCAAATCCATCCTATGAGGCTAATACCACCCTGATTCCAAAACAAGACAAAGGCATATCAAAGAAAAAAAAAGACTGAAGACCAATATCTCTAATGAACATAGATGCTAAAATTCTGGCAAATTC